CCATTACCATTTTTGCTATTATTATCATTATTACTATTATTATATATATATTTTTAGATCGATTGAAGGATAGCAAAAGCTGTAACGTTAAGAAGCACTTCAGTTATCAAAAGAGGTTAGCAGTCACCTTCCTTTCCGGTCCCAGTTCCACCTGAGAAGTTGACGGATGGATCTGGGAGCCAGTAGTGAAGTTGGTGAGCCGCAAGGAATGCTGGGTGGTTATGTGTTACCGTAATAACAAATTGCGGCAGTGCTATTTGTGCGTGTCCATCTATATTTTACAAGAATATCATTCGGAAAATCTGGATGTTGAGGTAAACTTAGCCTTTGCAAAGCTAGAATGCCAGATTAAAGCTACAAATAGGCTCTAGATGTTATGCGCTCATCAAAGTTAAAAAGCCAGGAAGCCTGGTAGCCAAAATAACACTTAGGCAATATAGGTGTTGTGAAACACATTTGTCTGTTGAAGGAATTAACAATTAGTATTACAAACAGTGAATTATATTGATCCTCCAAATCGATGACTTGCTTGTGAACTATCATCTTTTAACTACCACAGTATTTCAAATAACAACAGATAAAGAGAAAGCAAGTTGTTTTTTCAGTTATTGGTCACGAACTGGGGACACTGCAAAACTTTGATATTCCCAGGAGAATTTGGACCTCAGATCTGCCGATTTTACGTTCGGATGGCTTCTCAACTGCTGAGAAATTCACAGAGAAGTCATTAGCCCGTTTGGTCGTATTCTGGGTTACAGACATACATGAATTTATGCAAAAAAGATGAGCCGTTAGCAGGACTTGAGTTATTTGCAAATGGCTCGCTCTTTGGATTCCTTTGATAAATAGTACCGTTAATCTTTCTTGATTTAATCGGTGTTTAACTGCTTTGGTTCGCCATTGAAATTGCGGACAAAAAGACGCACTGCTTACGTTTATCCCGATTAGCTGCTGTCCTTTTTGGCTTTCAAGAACTTAAGTCAGGAGCTTTCCGCTTTGCACGGCATGTAGCGTGGCTTTCTGCGTAATGTGGTCGATAAAAATCGAGAACATTTTAAGTAGTCTTTGTTAATGAAAGCTGAATTGGACACAGTAAATGAAATTCGTTTTCAGTTGTATGCTCGCTGTTCAACAAAGAAATACAAAAACAACTCAATGATACAAAAAAACATAAACAATGGTGGTAGGTAAAAGAATATTTTTAAGATTCATTACTGAAATAGTGACAAAATGATGTACCAGGGATGAGCATGGATTGGTGTTAGATTGTATGTTACACAGAATTGTTTTGCCCTCAAAATTGCCTACAGTCAAACAGTTAAACAACAGGCGGATTTACGTCACAATTTGTACGCAATTACGTTTGTGATACCAGAGGGAATACTTTTCAAACACTAGAACACAGGTATTTTCTTACTAGTTCGATAAATACTTAAAAAATGAATAATTCTCTCCCTGATTAATGTTAACCACAAGCAGAATTCAAGGTATGGAAGAAAAAAAAAAAAGAAGTTGCATGGCGAATAACTTGATAAGTGCATATTGTATTTAAAAAATCCAAGTGGTGATTATTAAATATACCTCATTGCATTCAAGAATTAGACGGTAGCAAATCTTCGTTTGCTTACCTAAGAAAAGAAAAAAAAATCTCCAGGCCTACTTTAGATGTGTAATCTGTAACAAATGGGGTTTGGCATAGGATAAAATCTTGCTCTCCATTGAACTGTACGTTTGGCGAATATTTTCAACGTAACTAATTTTCTCCAAAACGTTAAATCTTTCAGTGCTTTAACGCAATCATTTCATTGGAATGAGCAAAAGATGTAGGACAGACGTTGTCATTAAACAACTTCTAAGAAGTGATTAACATTTGCATTTAATCCAAATCTTATATATTTTGCTGGCTTTCGAAACTAAGTTATGTAATTGTAAGCTGTGTCGCCGCAAATCGAGTTTCAAATTGAAATGCGGTTTTACGGCTGACATATTTGCTCTGAAAAGTTGCACGCTTTTTGTTTTTGTTTCATTGTTTTTTCTTTTTTCTTTTTTTAACGTCCCTTTTGCATAATACGGCCTAAAGTATACATTAATTTGCAAATTTTTGTAATTTGCTATACCAACGCGTTCGCAATTTGCCACGGGTTTTGGTGTACTATCGCGGGTTCATTTTGACGAATTTAATTGCGTAGCTGCGAGTTTTATCGCATCAGTGTAGCGAATGACCTGATTTTCGCCAACTGAACGCAAAGTGGTTTTTTTAGGTTATACTACTTGGAAACTTCTGAGCTCGATAGTTTTTGTGTGAAACGTCGCTAAAGAGTTGTAAAAAATTAATATTCTTGTGGTGGAGTGCAATATATCGTCCTTTGAAATGGCGTAATAGCAACTTAATTAACAATTCATCTCGTAATTGTGGTCTTTTGTAGACGAGTCATACCAGGTCAGCTGAAATATCACGCTGAGTTTTAGGTCTTATGTGAGAAACTCAACTCGCTCGTGAAAACGTGAATAATTACTTAAAACGTAAACCCGTTGCTTAGAACCGTGCGTCAAACGCCTTAATTGGAAGCGTTATCGCTCGAGAATTAAAGAGTTTGCTGCGCGAAGCGGGGGCAAGCGGGAAAAGCGAGGACATCTTTTCTCGTGCTTCGCTACGCTCGAGAGCCGGCAGATGGTGTAGTTGAAATCTTGGCACGCACTCACTGTGAATTTAAAATGATGCTAGTTGCGAAGTCCGAACTTTGATCCGCTTGTCTAAATGGGATCCACTTGTACCAAAGCTCCGAGAAAGGATCAAAATAGCAAGTACAGCCTACAAAATCGAGCGGATGATTCTTCAGGTAAGGCCAAGTTCTCAATGTGATTTCTTGTTCATTTTACAAAGCTGTCAATCCACTGGCAGGCGCCGAAGCCAGTTTATTTATAAATACATGAAAAATGCATTGTCTTTAAAACGAATGCGCATATTACAACTTCCCTCCCAATTTTTAAACCCGGTTATCATTGTTATTTTTATTTTTTTTATTTATTTTTTTTTTACAAAGATTGCTGTTTTTATTTCGAAAGGAGCACTAAAAGATTTGCGATTCTAAGTTACATTCATCGGACTGTCGATTTGAAATTTTTTGCAAACTCCCAAAAGTCAGCCGCTCTTTAGATGCGCTTAACATTTACATTCAAAATATTTTATGCAACGAACGTTTCTTTTATTCATTAGTTTTGTGTTTTTCATGTCTTGGTAAAAAAGTAGGATGTTCATCTTATCATTCACAAAACCGGGACATGATCGAAACGGCTTAAATATAAGAGGCGTCGGTACAGAATAGATCACGGGCGATATACACATGTGTGTTCCTTCAATTTTCAATTATTCACCTGCACTTGTCAATCTACTTATTTCTACGGCTAAGCTTTTTGCATTATCCCCCAACAAAAAGTCGAACAAAAAGATTTCGAAAGAGCTTACGAGAAAAGAAAAGAAAGTGGCCTATACACCACTTTAATACTCTTCCGTGGGGACATTTACACATTTTTCCCTTTGAATTTCTATCATTGAAAAGCGCGCGACATCCATTTCAAATTTCGCATCCTCTAAAGATGGAAACTGATGCATAGAGGACACCATGCTAATTAGATCTTTGCCGGGCAAACAATCCGCTAATTACAAGAATTTCAGTGATCAGTTATTCAGCCGGTGCATGCGATTCGCTGCTCGCGAAAGCAAGTTCTCCGCAAGCACGTTCCGCTATCGCGTTTTTGTAGACATGAAGGCGCCATTACCTAAAATCTTGAATCCACATCTCAAGGAATCACATTAAGGTAGCGTTTTGGCTTTATAAATCGGTCGGCGCGCGCAATTTGTCGTCTTTGCAAGGATTTCTTCTAAACCTTTAGGTTAAGAATTAAGTCTGGCGCACGTCGAAACGCAATGAAATCCTCGATCTCTCGAGGCCGCATTGTTCGTATCTGGGTAAAACCAGCTGGGCAGAAGAAACGCGTCAAATTCGGTAAGTTTATAAACAGATAAATGATCCGCCAGAAGATCGAGTTCATTTCTGGCAAATAATATTGCGAGTAAGTGGAAGAGTCGGTTAACCACTGTTTGTTGTTATTTCCTGCGACAAATTTTCTAAAATCAGGCTGCGCGTAATTCGTGTTTTGGAAAATTTTCTCTGACGTACATTCACCGACAACATTGAATTGAAATTGTTGATTCTAATGACACACAGGTGAAGAGGAAGTCGAACTGATGTTGTTTCATAAGATTCTGTTTTTGCAAAGATTCATTTGGATTTTATAGTTAATGGCTTGGCCTCCTGCCTAGTAAAGTAGTGAAATTACCGACTTTCTTCGGTGTTATAAGGATTTTTAGATTACCATTCAGCAAATTGTTACATATCTTATATACTTTTAGTATTTGCGCAGATAAAAGTAAATACCAGTGATCGATGCAAATAAGAAGAAAGCTTGGGTCGTTTCTTTCCATTTTCGCGATATGATAATTTCTTTCTTGGCGAATGGCAACATTCCGCCTGTTTTAGCTTTTGATATCATTTGATCAACTTAGGGGCTAAAATTGACCCACATCTCTTCGATAAGAAAACGTATCAAGATGAACACTGCATTTTAAATGTATTTTTTTAATCAAATGGAAGAAAAATTATTCTCTCACATTATTTCGTGAAGATGTAACATCACAGACTTCGCTCTGAACGCAACGCGAAGGCAGTTTTATTTTTTTGTCGGCTGTATAAGTCAATTTGTTTTAATCTAAATTTGCATAAAGTGGCCTTAATTACTTTCTACTCATGACATCATAGACTTTGAACACGTGGTGAACGTAATAAAAAGAAAAAAAAAATATATATATATAATTTGGAAATATCAACAAAGTTGAAATGGTAAATTGGCCACCGTAACGATTACAAAAGCTGATGTTTCGAGCGTTAGCCCTTCGTCGGAGCGAATAGAGCAATTGTAAGTTGTGTGTGCTTTTAAAGGCAGAAATATATATATAAAATAATAACTGCACACAGTACTGTTCCGGCCTTCTGGGCCTCATCAGTGCAGTGCTGATGCTAGGATGGGGGAGAGCCGATATGGATCCCCAAACGATTCCACACTTGTGGTATCGTCTAAGCCTTGCCAGAGTGCTCAAACTAGAAGAGCCTAGTGAGCTATGCACAATGCTAGCGGCAATGACTCATCCCACAGTACTGAATTTGGACATGAAAGCAGAGCTTTATATGCGCCAAAGAGCCAGGCGCGTAGCGTGGTCATTTTTACAAGTACGCACAAGTACATATGATCTAGAAACCTAAGTAAACTGAGCGAAAAATACTGCGTTCTTTATTTCTTGTTTGAAATAGTTGTGTAAATACAAGCAAAGAACAAAGCGTCTTGCCCTTATTTTGAGCAAACTTGGCGCAAACACAACATTGTTTTCAAATTTTTTCTGGTCACTTCAAGTACGCATGTGCGTGTATGCGTAGAGAACGCTACGCGCCTGAGAGCTATATCTAACTGCACGATGATTCCACCGAGAAAAGGATCCAAAGGATACAGGATGCTTCCTTCTTTAATGACGATAAGTGGAATAAACAGAAGAAGAAGGAAACTTTTCGCTTGTGGCCTTTAATATGCATACGTTTCGTCCATTCGGGCTTCCTCAGCACTAAATATCAATATGGAGTAAAATTTACAAGCAATGCAAAGTCTTAAATACGTGGAATAAAAATTTTTTGCATAAAATCCCATAATATATACATATATGTAATATATATATATATATTTCTAATTGTTGGTGAAGTGTGAAACAAACACGTTTGAAGTGTGAAACAAACACGTTTCAATGTTTATAGAATCGTCAAAATCCCCTGTGAATCCTCAAAGTTTTCCATAAAGTTGAATATTTTCATATGGCCAATACAATTTATAGGTAGGTTTGGGACCAGAAAACATCAGTTGACTGACTTGCGACGAAGTTCTTTAAACTCTTATTACATACCCGGTTGAAATCTTATTGGTCTTGTGGGGGAGAAATAACATTACTAGGCACTACACTCAATACATGAAGAACTTTGAAAAGGCAGTCCTCGTAAAAGAACCTTTAACTGATTGCTTCTGAGAATGGTTATAAATTGCAGAAACCTTGCTCGATCAGAAAACAAAAAATAATCTCGAAAATTAAATCCTAGAACATACTTGGCAATATCAAACAATATCTTACACAAAATTAATAATTTATTTTTCGTTTCTGCGAAGTTTATCGCATGTCATTTGAAAATCAACGTTCAAAGTGTTTGGTTTTTGTTATTGTCTATCTAACGCATACTCTATATTGGTCGAAAATGTCGTCGTTAACCGTCAAGTATTGCATCTTTGGTGTGTGGAATTGTAAATATAATGAGCAAAGACGAAGTTGTACTGACAAACGGGTGAAAAATAAGTGTTATACAATTGCTGTAGCCAGATTTCAAACCGTTTAACAACCAGCTGTAAGTGATAACAGGGCCATTTTAATGCAGAGGCTTTTGAGCGCAGCCTAGATACCGCGAGAGAGCAAAATATTTGTCTCCTGTCTGGGTCTCTTCGACAGCACCAGTTGCATTCAGCGTATCTATGGCAACCTGTTGCAAGTCCATGGCAGGTGGGAAAGCGTATATGTAAAATAACTTTTTTTTTCCTCTGGGTTCGATCACTTATTTCTTAGTTTCCAAAAATCCACTCATTTTAAACAGCTTTTACTTTCAGAAAGGATATTTCTAATGTGAAGTATAATTACCAAGGCGAGTAATTTCAGTTGGGGTCAAGTTCAACGACCTTCGTTTATTGTTTCTAATGTTTGTTCGTCATTAATATATGCTGTTTTTAATTTGTGGCGTCAGGAGAGCACATTTAAAATGCAGATTTGCCAAGGATACGTAAAACCAAACGATAAAAGCTCCCAAGTTGCCACCATTATAAAAGGAAGCTAAAAAAAGTGAAGTACAGTGAAATGAGTTTAATTTTTACCAAGTCCTTTAGGCCAATTGTGAGAGGTTTAGAAAAAGTTTCGTAAATAATAGTTCTTCGATTTTAAAGATATTGTATTTGATTTTTTACCGTGGTTAGACCACTTTTACTCTGTTTTATAATTACCACGTAAGTTTTAACGTTTTAACGTTTTAACGTTTTAACGTCTTATTAGGATAAATAAAGATTACAGAGTAAATTAAAAAAGGAAACGAACCGAAAACTTAACAAAGAAAGTAAACTAAAAAACGATATTCGAACGATTGAGGCGGAAAACCTCTCCCTTGGAGACCTTAACTTGGCGATCATGTAGAAAGCTGTAACACTGAAGTTGTGAGGTTAAAGTAATATTACATTTGCATAAACTTTCCTATATATATTAATCAAGTTGAAGTATAAAAGCATTACATTATGGTACACTGATGAGATCTTTGCCTCTCTTGTTCAGCAGATACAGTACAGCCGCATATTCACGTGACGTCAATACCAGTGGACTGCGCATGCGAATCCAACTGCAATGACAACGAAGTGTGTAATGACTGTGATGGTTACACAACACACGATCCTACCAGCTATTCTCCAGAAAAAGCTTCAGTTCTCGCCGTGTCAAGGTAAAACATAAAGTTTGACTACTAAGAGTGACGACCATCTTATTTCTCCAAGTAGTAAAAGGTAAAGTCTGTTTACGAGCCTAGTGGCCCATCAGGTTGGTGCTTAACTCCGGTTTCTGTAGCATGAAGCGACTAGGAGTATTTATACTCCCCCCCCCCTCGGATGAGAGGAACCTAGGAAATGCGTTTAAAATATTATGGATAATATGCTTACTGATGTTAGGGTATGAAGAGTTAACAGATGTAGCCAAGATATCAAAAATGCTGTTACGAAAATCTCGCTCTCAATCAAGCCAATTTTCGCTTGAATGTCGAAAGCAATGTGGGATAGCATTGGTTTTGCTCCATCCTACTCTGTGATTGGTCTAGAAAACTCTAAGCCAACCTCTAAGCCAATCAGACGCTAATCATGACGTGGTGACTCGGGGGTTCAAATTTTACCCCTTTCTAGATAGTTTGATGTTTTTAACATCAATATTCTCATTGGCTGCTCGTGACATAAACTTTCGTCCTAATTGGCTGCTGGTATTGCGTTGGAATAGGCTGTATGGCGCTGAAATGATAACTTTAATTTATAAAATGTTGATTGAGGAGCCTGTCCTATGTACAAAAAAATACATCTCTTGAGTTAGATTTTCGAATAGACGCGACGGTCTCAACGAGCCGCCTCAGTTCTTTTTTTTTTTTTTTTTACTGCAAATCCAGCGTGGAATCCTTTATGGAGTCCTATGATACGACTAAAAGAAAGTTTTTTAATTGAAAGAATTGGTATTTTTGGATGCACTATCTGCTTTCATTTAGGGTGGCTCAGTGATTTTTTGGCGTTTTAAACACCAATTCTTTGGTACATACTTTTTTCTTTTGTTCTTCTGAAACTGTAATTGATTTGGTAACATGGTAGAAACGATGAAGAGAATGCTTTCAACATAGCCATGACCAAAAGGAATTTGACTTTTTGCTATATTTATTTTTTATTTCATTTTTTTATATGTAATGCTTGTACAAGTAAACGAGTGAGTTTGAATTAACGATCTATTGAATAACTAATGTTAATAGATAAACGAAAGCATTTTGAGCTACAGAACGTCAGAAATTTTCTCAAACTTCAGGGCAGAATTTCACGACTACTACATCATAATTTCTCTGCGAGAAAGAAAATCACATTACTGCAAATAATAAACTCAGAAGAAACAAAGTTAGCTGCAGATGGAGAAGATTGAAACGGATTTTAAATAACAAACATAAAAAAAGCAAGCTAAACTGTGCGTTGTTCCAGTCCTTTTTCGCGCCAAAACACACAACTTACGTCACGTATTGATACCATGTATCACTATTGTGTCAACAAACCTTTGTCAACAGATTCTTTTCTTTAAAAGCGAAAGCCAATCCGGCATAAATAAATAAAGAATGAACACAGGCACCAGAGGTTACGTCAAACGAATAATAATCATAAAAAAAAGTTTACTTTCATAGCAAATACATCTTCATAACAACAGTCAAAAACCACCTTCAAGACGCTCAACTGCGTACTTTTCAACCGAAGGAAAAGCATCTTTAGGTAAAGAAATACATGGTAATCTTGACGAAGTAATAACAGAAGTTTATTTATGACCTAGTGATGCACCATGTCTCGATTGCAGCTCGGTACGGTAAGATTTAAAGTTAGCATTTCATCTTGGTCGCCCTTTCAACACAACTCTGATCAACTCTCTTTAAGCGTTCAATGCAAATAGACTCAGAAAGGTTTGCGTCGACTTGGATGACTAAGAATGCTCAACTTTCAGGACGTTTTCTTATGTATCCGTCAACTGAACAGATTTAGCTTTCGAGATCTCGATTAACCGCTCTTACAATCCTGTGTAAAGATTTTGAAGTGTTCATTTGATACAGCAGGTTAACTCGCCTATTGGGATCGAAATTCCGTGAGCGAAGCTGGAAGATTTCGACTGAAAGCACCTTAGTGTGCTTATCAGTTGAAATCTGAAAGGTCACGGCTTGTAAATCTCGGAAATCAAACATAACTTCTCCTTGAGTACAATAAGCGAGCTTAGCTGACAGCCAGGTGAAGCGAGACTGGGATGAAATTTCTCATTTGAATAGAAGACAAGACTCGTCTTACTAGCCGGGCCAAACAGCGGGGTACCGGACTTACTTCAAGAGGCCTTTGGTAGACTTATTGCGATAACAAGATGTATCGTATGTTGTGTTTTGACAACATAAGGTGAATGTGTGCTCTGTAGAGTTTCACTTTTCTGTTTGCACTGTGTTATGCTCATTCTTTGAAGCGGCTGATGCGCTTAAGTGCAAGCTTAGAAGATTGTTCGTGTCCTGCGAAACAACAGAATATCTTAGTTTATATCTTTTTTTCCTTTTTTAAGATACCTTTTGTAAAAATTCAGTAGTTTATGTCATGCGCGCTTCTGGAAATTTCCACTGTTCAGGTTGAATTCCACATTGCCTGTTCTGTCTTTCTAAAGGAACGTCTGGGTAACAATAGCTATATTGTAGCTTAAAATCCATCTACTTCTTAGAGGCTTGGAATTAATTCAAATCCGTTGCAAAAAATCCACGGTGTGTGTTTTCTCTTATCCTTAACTTGCTGCATTCCAATGGAAAAATTACGAATGCCGGGACGGTAGAAAAGGGGATTCTACGATCCGGCTCCCTCCAATACTGCTGGCGCGTAGCATCATTTCATGTCGTTCACGGTATTCAATTCCTTCTGTAGAGATTGAAAATAATTCTTTTGATTGGGGACTCGTGCAGTAGCATCTGAAACCCACGCGTAACTAAAGTCTAAAACGCTAAAATAATTCCTTATGTTCCTGTGTGTAAATTACATGTAAAAAGCGTGTACGTTAAGTGAATACATCTTTAGTTAGTGATATGTCACATTTTTCGTCAGGTGATAGTAAAAGGTAGGCCAAGGTTGCTTCAAAAGAATGTGACGGAACTCTGTTGTACTTTCTCGAGAGAACTTCACTTTTTTTTTTTTTTTTTTTTTTTTTTTTTTTTTTTTACAATAACG